GGAACCCCTGTCGGACAACTATATCTTAGAGCCGCTACTGCTAGAAAGCCCTGAACAAAAATTCGGTTGTTCTCGTAGTAATGTATATATCAATAAAAATGTTTTGATTTAATCTATTTCTCGTTGCTTTTCATCGCACTGTAATGGCTAATTTTGTTGAGCACCACACCCCTTTACAAACCTGGACATCCTCCACCATCTTTCGTCCGACGCCACGACGAGGTCGTGAGACTAAACTACCGTACATGCGCGAATAAGCGCCCGGGCGCTTAAAATATTTTTTTGCACTTTTTGAGGGGAGCTTATTCAAACGGGTCGCTTATTCGAACGGGGCGCTTATGAAAACAGAGTGGAAATTGAAGGGGCACTTATGGAAATAGATGAAAATCGAGGGGTTCTTTTGAGAACTTATTAAATTCAAGAGGCACATTTTGAATGGAAAACGATTATATAAGGACATCAGGAAACCGCAAATTACGAATGGTTGTGCGGCGGAAAAGATAATCGTCCAGAGAGCATGGCTTGTCATGACAAGAATGTTACGAGTACAATATTACATAACAGCAGAATAGCAGATAAAATTAGTAGTGGTAGTTAGCTTGTTGGCCATCGGCCGATTGAGATTAGCAGGACGGCATGATCATTGCAGGTTTTCTTGAAAACTCAGATGAGAATGTGTTAAAGGTGTAAATTGTCGGAAAAAGAGTAGGACTAGGCTATAGACAAAATATATATTGAAGTTGGAAATGTACTGCCTGTCCAGGGAGCTCTCATCTGTCCAAGATACATATCCACATTTTGATATTACCTAAAGGGGAATGTGATTCCACTCGCACACCTCAAATCATGCCAACATCCACAGTCCCAGGATTGATTGGATTATTCAAACGGGGCGCTTATTCGCGCGAGTACGGTAATCTTTAAATCCAATCAAGTTGCGGTTGCCATTCCCTAATATTGTGGTCTAAAAGTATAAGTTGTGGATGCCCAAAATCTCAATCCAAAATGGCAATCCCTCCGCCACCTCAAGGGATAAAGTTGGTGTTTAAATTCATACCTGTAAATTTTGAAAATGTGCTGCAAAGCAACCACCCCTATTCCAACACCATGCAGGAACAGATACAAGATTGAAAGTTAGTGGAAGTGGGCTGGATACTGTACCCTCTATCTCAGGTCCATTGTACCATGATTGAAAAAGTCAATGCGATGCGTACATTCATATAATTCATAATTATCATTATATATTTATTTCAGAAAGTAATGGAATTGAGAAAAAGTGGTCCGGCCATAGCCGGTGCGGCCGGTGCG